TCTAAAGAATTGGACAATCAGCAGGGAAGTTGTAATTAACCCCTCAGAGACTACACGTTGGGGATCTGTTTATACTGTTAATAAGAATATTAATATTTATAAGGTACCATCATACCTTATAGAAGTAAGGTATAATCCTACCTTATTTAAAGATTCTTCCCTTAACCTATAATTTAAAATGATGATTATGATTCCAAAATTATATGATTCAAGTCCACTAAATCCTCACTGGATCGTAGGATTTATTGACGGAGAAGGGTGTTTTCATGTTGGGATTTATAAAAACAAAACAATGAAATTGGGATATCAAGTAACACTTGAATTCTCAATCACTCAACATATTCGAGATAAAGAATTAATGAATAAATTAATTGATTTCTTTGGATGTGGTTATGTTATTAAGGATACTCCTATGAAACTACAATATAGAATTCGAGATAGACAAGATCTATCAAAAAACCTATTCCCCTTCTTAGATCAAAATACACTATTGACTGTTAAGTCTTTAGATTATTTAGATTTTAAATTGGTTCATTCAATGTTAGAAGAGAAACTTCATTTAACTCAAGAAGGGTTAGATAAGATTAGAACAATTCAAGCAAGAATGAATCTTAATAGAAAATAAACAGATCATGATATAGTCCAAGCCACATCGAAAGGTGTGGACCTAGGATACCAACGGCCCTGTCTTTAATTAGATGGGGCTTCGTTGTCTATCCGACATTCATTGCGTGGGTTTTTGAGCGAAATACCTTGGCCACTAATTATGGTCGCGCATGAATGGTTTAACGATACTCTTACTGTCTCCAAGATGAGCTCAGTGAAATTGAATTATCCGTGCAGATGCGGATTACCATTAGCTAGACGGGAAGACCCTATGCAGCTTTACTGTAGTTAGTCATTGTGTGCTTATAATTAAGGTGTAGAATACAAGGGAGTCGATTAGACATCAGTGAAATACCTTGACTTAATTAGGAGCATGCTAAACCAAATTTTGGGACAGTGATTAATGGGCAGTTTATCTGGGGCGGATTTCTCCCATATAGTACCGGAGAAGTACAAAGGTCGGCTTAAATTGGATGGAAACCAATGGGCTAAAGAGAGCCTAATTAAGTGTAATGGCATAAGCCGGCTTAACTGTAAGACTGACAAGTCATACAGATACGCAAGTAGGTCATAGTGATCCGGTGGTCCATCATGGAATGGCCATCGCTCAACGAATAAAAGTTACGCTAGGGATAACAGGCTGATCAATCTCGAGAGTCCATATTGACAGCGGTGTTTGGCACCTCGATGTCGGCTCATCACATCCTGGGGCTGTAGGCGCTCCCAAGGGTTCGGCTGTTCGCCGAGTAAAGTGGTAAACATACGTGCCACCACATACATGTTATGTGTAAAATTTCACTATATGCTGGAAAATCCTAATTTGCGGGGTGGCTCTGCCGCCCCGCATATTGCCCCCGCGCTCCGCGCGGGGGTAAAGACTTAAGTACCTCAATGGTGACAATCTTAAGTATATTACAATGGACAATCAGCAGGGGACTACTTTATTAAGTAGGTTTCTCAGAGACTACACGTGAAACATTTGTTTAAGAAATAAAATGGAACTAATTAATGGCATTATTTTTTAAGATAAAAACTAAATAACTTTACAATAAACTTTTTAATGGAACTACTAAAATCTCTAGAACATTCTCGGGCAATCCAAGAAAATGTGAATATTAATCCTCAATGGTTAGCTGGTTTTATCGAGGCCGAAGGGCATTTTCACGGTAAAGCTGGACAACAACCACATTTTTCTATTTCTCAGCACCCAGCTGATTTTAAATTAATGGAATCTATTTCTAAATATTTTGATCACGGTAAAGTACGACTATCTGTAAGACCAGATGGAAGATCTGAAGCCGTGTATACAATTTATTCGAAAGATGTTCTTGAGAATAAGATTATTCCTCTTTGTTCCGAAAATTTCATTTCTACGAACAAATCTCTACAATTCAGAGAATGGACTAAAGCACATTTCCCTAATTATCAATCGATCGCGTTACCTGATCCTAACAAAAAAATTGACCCTAATTGGTTAGTTGGGTTTGTGGATGGTGACGGATCTTTTTATAGTTTAATCCACAAAACAAAAGATTACAAAATTGGATATCAAGTACAAACGGTATTTGATATTGCTCAATTAGATTCTGAACGAGGTTTATTAACAAGAATTGGAGATCAATTTTTTGGTTCAACTCAAACATGGGCTAAATCTAAAGATACTCAGCATTTAAGAATTATGAGTAAAAATGGTTTAGTAAATTATGTAGAACCATTTTTTGATGAAAATAAACTTTTAACTCGGAAAGAATATGACTTTTTATTGTGGAAAGAAATGTTAAAGACAATTAAAAATAAAGAACATACGACTTTATCTGGTTTAGAAAAAATCAAAGAGCTTAGAGATTTACAGAATTTCTATAGATCTAATATTTCTTCTGATATCCAAAAATTAATTGACATAATAATTAAATAAATAATAATAACCTCCCCTCCAGGGGTGGCTGTAAACAATAGCCACCCCTCCTCGGGTGACTATTGTTGTTTTTAAACAAATGAAGATATAGTCCAACAATTATTGAAAGATAATTGGTTAATGACGTGAGTTGGGTTAAGTACGTCGTGAGACAGTACGGTTCCTATCTACTAATGGAATTAGAATCGGACAAGAACCTGCCGATTGTACGAGAGGATCTCGGTGGACTAATCTCTGGTATACCAGTTATAGTTTCCAATCTCTTTGAGATTGGTACTGTACGGCTGGGAAGCTACATTAGGACAGGATAACTGCTGATAGCGTCTTAAGCGGGAAGCCTATCTTGGCACGATTCTTTATTAGAGTGACTGTAGATCACAGTCTTAATAGGTTGCAGGTGTAAGCATAGTAATATGTTAAGCTGGGCAATACTAAATTCTCAAGTAACTTGGTAATAACATATCTTTTTAAAACACATTACACATTTCTAAAGGGTTTAGTTTTCGGTTGTAAGTTGGTCTCTCACGTGTCAATCCTTTAACCCCTCGATAAGGAGAGTTCGTCGACTAACGAAACAAATAAGATATGAAACAACAAAAATTATTATTAAATAAGAAGTAAAATATCCCAAATGTAAGGTCTATGGAATTAGGTAGTAAACAAGGATATAACAAATTTCTCGAACTCTATGGAATCAAGAAGGTAGTGAGAGATGGAACTCCGGAATTCACACCTGCCGGTAACGGTAGACTGTGTAGATATGTCAAAAGACAACAATTCCGACTCCAGAGACTGGCCGAGAGAAGGACGGCCCCGCGACTGCAGTTGTGACCTAACTTGGAAGTTTTATACGCCCACTCGTGGAAATATAATTCATATCCCGAGGGAGGGGTAAGGGGGGCGGCGTAGCCGCCCCCCTTACCCCAATTAGGGGCCGCAAGGCGGCCCCGGAGTAAAAGGTATATA